GGCCTAGACGTCACACACAGCTATGTAAGTTACTCTTCACTGCCTATAAACCATTCAATTGTAGCTATTTTAATGAAACATGTTACATTTCTGGAGGAGGTAGGACTTGAACCTACACCTCCTGGCTCAAAGGTGCAGACACTGCCACTATGCCACAACAGCGCCACCCATTCAACTGTATTCAAACTGGCAGCTTATCATCACCACATCAAGGGAAATGATACCCACATGCAATTGATAGCCACATCCTCTGAATAAATAATAATGATCACTGGAATTATTATTGAAGGATGAGATTGAGTACATGAGTAAACAGGGCAGGGAATCATCTGGATTCTGAAAATGACATCTGAGGTTGAGTGGGTGTATCGTGTAGCAATACTAAAATCCCTGGCTGAGGACTAAATGTTCAGCAAATCCTACTCATTTGATCTTTGCAATGTTTTCACAACTCAAAGTTTAAATCCAATTTACAAACAGTGTCTCAACATGTTTGTGATGGCAGATTACATATTCTGACTACCCTTCATGCAATTAAAAAAAAAGTCACATACCGTTGCTGATTCTTAAATCACACCATCGCCAGACCATTTAGAACTCATTATTGTAAGTCTAAGTGGTCACAGTGGGAAAATTGGTTTTAGTTCAGGAAAACTGCAATAACCATTGAAGTTAATGAGAACATTACAAAAGTACAGGCATGCTCACTTACTACAAGGACTGTATGATGTTCCCATATCAATGTTTTCACCCTGAAGCCAATTAAATGTGCCAAGTAATAAGTTCCATATATGCTGCTGTAAGCCTTTTGAACCCAGGCTTTTATCTTTGACTCAGGAATTACAATAAGTTAATACCCAAAGCCTCATAGACTTAATCAGGGTTTGTTTATTTGAACAGGATTAAAATGAAACTTAAATATTTCTTTACTGCTCTAATCCAAGCACTAAAATATGAAAATGCCCCAATATTATCTAACAACAATATTGTGTATAAAATATAAACAACAGGTATGCAGCAGATCACCTTGGAATGGCCAACTTCAGCTGATTAATAACTTCCTTCTGGCACTCCGTAGTGTTCTCTTTCTGGCAATCCTTTTTTTGTGATTGCAGTGCAGAAATCTTTTAAGCCACATTCTTTTATATAGTTGAAAATCCCTTCCAATAATTTTCCACTTTGTCCAAAGCTGTAATTATGGCTTCCTTCAACCTTGGATTCAACTTAGACCATCCTCCAGAGATAAAAGTCCAAACTATTTCAAGCGTCGCTCTCTCTTGTCTGAATGAATCCCCTTTCTGCTTTCTGATGGCTCTGTTTATAGATCTCTCACTGTTCGGCAACGTTTAAGTGGGAAAACAAGCTCACTGCTGCCCCCCAGCTTGGCAATTTTCTCAAAGCATGCCAGTTAAATGTCAGGCTTAAAATAAGGTCAATTTGCTTACCTTCCTTACAATGCCAGCATGCAGATACCTGAAATAAGCATATTCATAAGCTCAAATAAAGGTGGTTTGTGACAAAGGCATTTAGCTCATGTGGATATAGGATTTAGAGGTTTCTAAGATACATTGACAGATGATTGTGACTTCAGTAGCAATGTTGTGGGAGTCTGCTGGATGTTTATACGACGGCAGCTCGGATCGTGGAGCTCTGTAGCATTACCATTCTGTGCATATGGTTCTTAAAAGAAACCCAGAAATTTGGACTGCAATTGTACGAAGAAAGAAGAACCCATGCTAAGGAAGGTGGCAGTGTTGGAGAACTATTCTCAAAGTAGAGGGAGATACTGCACAAGTAGGATTTCCAAGGTTGTAGTGCTGCATAAAACCGGCACTACCATCTCTGCCTAAATGTCTTTTATCTACTTAATTAATTGTTTCAAAAAAATTAAATGAAATTCAAAGTCTTCTTTAAAACTTTTCAGTTGTTTTCCTCCTTTATTCTATTCATCAGTTTTTTTATTCTTTATTATTGTTCAGATATAAATTAAAATTCCAAACTGGGGAGGCGATGGTGTAGTGGTATTATCACTGGGCTGTTAATCCAGAGACCCAGGTAATGCTCTGGGGACCCAGTTTGAATCCTGCCATGGCAGGTGATGGAATTTGAATTCAATAAAATATCTGGAATTAAGAGTCTTATGATAACCATGAAACCATTGCTGATTGTTGGAAAAACCCATCTGCTCCTTTAGGGAAGGAAACTGCCATCATTAGCTGGTCTGGCCTACATGTGACTCCAGACCCACTGCCCTCTGGGCAATTAGGAATGGGCAATAAATGCTGCCTTGCCAGCGATGCCCTCATCCTGTGAATGAATAAAGAAAATAAAACTCTGTTATTAATATTCTTTATTTAGACCATTTTAACTTGATCCACCTGAGCTCGCTCTTGAATTTTAAAGAAATCTCAATTATAGCATGTACATTGGAATTATTTAGAAACCATTTTAATTGCTTCAGCTATAGTTTCTCAGGCTTCATCACTCCTCTGACTTTACTTCTCCAGATTTAGAATTTATTTTTACTGATTCTTCACTGTGTCATAGAGAGATCACTCCCTGCATCCTCTTTATACGAAGAGTAAGGATACCATTCGGTGTACTCACTTGCTTGGGAATAATTTGACTTTATGCAGACGTGCCATAGAGCACAGTCTCTGGCTGACTGTCCTCATCCAGCATTGGGATTTATGTTTGGGCAGGATATGCTGTTCAGGTGAAGTCTTTTTAAATTGGGTGCCTTATCACTCAAGGTATCATTGGGATGTCAGGCCTGACTTTTGATGTTTGCAAAGCAGCTGAATGTGTCTTGTTTAGATTTAATCGATTTGGAAAATTCATTGGCGTTTATGGGACTCAGCTCTGAATATAAATAGATTGTTCTTGTGTTTACAACCAACTGCATGCTCCCATTCCGTGTAACTTGAGCGTTATTACAAAGGGCATAAAGTACAAGAATCATAGAATCCCTACAACGTGGAAGCAGGCCATTCAGCCCATTGAGGTCCATTGAACTGCAGATGCTGGAGAATCTGAGATAACAATGTGTAGAGCTGGATGGACACAGCAGGCCAAGCAGCATCAAAGGAGCAGGAAAGCTGACGTTTCGGGCCTAGACCCTTCTTCAGAAATGGTGGTGTGAGGCAGTGGTGCTAACCACTGAGCCACTGTGCTGCCAAGAGGAATGAATTTTTGATGAATTTGTATAAAACATTGGAGAGAGTGAAGAAAAGACTGAGGAGAATAGGGATGAGGATTTCCAGCCAGGAAGCTAGATTGGAGAAGTGGGACTGTAAAAAAAAGAGATGGCTGAGAGGAGATTGAGGTATCCAAAATCGTATTGAGGACTGGACACAGTGGAGATGGAAAAGCAGACGGAAGTATTGATAATGATGGGCACAGAATTAAAGTAATTGGCAAAAAAACAATATGAGGAAAAAAAGTGCTTCTCACACAGCAAGTGGTGAAAATCTGGAAAGCCTGCCTTATGATTGTGGTGGGGTGAGTTAAGCTGAAACATTCAAAAGTGAATCAGACAGCTACGTGTAATGGAGGAACGTGCAGAGAATGTGTGGAGAAACAGGGGTGAAGTGAATGGCTCAGAGAGCCAGTATAGACATGACAGGCTGAACAAACTCCCTCGGCGCTGAAACAATTCTGTGATTTTTCCTACTTAACGAACATGAAATCTTGCCTGGAAGATCATTCTGATGTTGACAGGTCTGCAGTTTCTGACTGTTCTGCCTTTTGATATCGATGTTCATTAAACCATTGGATAAATTGACCTTATTCGGTGTTGGCTGCATTTTGTACACAATTGACATTGTGTGGACCAGAACTTCTTCGTATCTCCAAATGTCAACTTAGCCCCACATGCTGCCTGGAAAGCTTCATAAAGTAGTTATAGGATCATCGCCTTCGAATTGACACTACCTTCAGAATACATTTTCAAAATAAGGGGAGGTGATTTTAACCCTCCTTACCCATTGGAAATGAACAGGCAGGTTCTTTTCAATCCTTCCATGAGATTGGGAAGACGATACAAGAACAGCATTTGCCACCCATCCGTAATTTCCCTCGCACTGAGTGGTTGGTGAGGCCATTTCATAGGGCAGTGGAGTGTCATCCACATTGCCGTGGCTCTGGAGTCACATGGAGGCCTGAATATCAACAGCAGATTATCAGCAAGACAGCTAGGAGCGAAATGAGAAGAAATTTCTTTCCTCAGAGACTTGCTATGATTTGGAATGTGCTTTCTGGGAGAGCAGTGGAGGTGGATTCCATTGGCGGTTTCAAAAGAGAGCAGGATACATATTTGAAAGTGATGAAGTCAGAGGGCTATGGCTATAGGGCTGGAGAGTGGGACTAGCTGTGTAGCTGTTATGTGAGCCAGTACAGACACAATGGGTTGAATGGCCTCCATCTGCACAGTAAAATTCTATGATTCTATAATAACAGGCATGGACTTGAGGTGAGGAAAATCCAAGTGGTGAAGAGCATTTTTTTAAAAAATTCACTCATGAGATGTTGGGCTTGTTAGGGCCAGGTCAACATTTATTCTCCAAGATGCAGCGAAGAGCCTGGGGTCTGTACTTCAGATTTCCAGCATCTGCAGTATCTTGCTTCCGTTTCACATCATATGGGAGGAGTTGTGCATCAGGCAATTATACTTTAGTGATGAGAGATCTCGGGACAGTGTGCATTTAAATGTAGGCATAAATATAACAAGCATCATCTGGGACAGTGTGTGGTGATAAATACGGCAGTGATTGACATAGCACAAAACATTAAAAACACAGAAGATTCACCCTCGTGATAAAATAGGGCTGGAAATGAGGTGAAGGGTGGAAGAGGAAACTAAACATGCCCCATACCTCACGTGTCAATGTGTACCACGGCTCTGGGACACAGCTGATCAGAAGGTGCAACATCCAGCCAAGATACACCTGGCTGCAGTGAGGTATTCATTGGAATCATTGCAACTGCTGCCAAATACCCGGTTATGAGTTCAGCACATCCTGCACTGAAGGAGTAAGGGTCAGTCCCGGCAAGTTGGCACTGACTGGATGCTTGCCGCTATCTGCACACAGGGCAAGATTTAACTGCTTGAGAATTGCAACTCCAAGTTCATCTGCACTTTTGATGTTGAAGTAGTCCTGACATTGTCCACATGTTGATGGAACTAATGGAGCTCCTGCCTCTAAAGTCACAGAGTACTTTCCTTCCACAGTGGCCTCCCCACTTACTGCAAATGAATTTTTTCCTTAAAGAAAGCATCCCACAACCACAAGAGCTATCCTCAGACACAGAAATCTAAAACTCCAGTTCCATTGGTTCGCACTATTCTCCCTTCTCTGGCAGCTTTCTCTCAGACACAGAAACCATAAAGCCTTCCTACTTGTCTAAGCTGTCACACTGCGTTCCTCCAAAGAATAATTATGAGACCACATTCATTGGCTGCCAGTGATCTTATTATCTCCTTCCTCCTAAAGTTACCATACCCACCTTCCCCTCTAACACATTTACCGTACCCACCTTCCCTCTGACACAGTTACCATACCCACCTTCCCCTCTAACACAGTTACCATACCCACCTTCCCCTCTAACACAGTTACCATACCCACCTTCCCCCTCTAACACAGTTACCGTACCCTCCTTCCCCCTCTAACACAGTTAGTGTACCCACCTTCCCCTCTAACACAGTTAGCGTACCCACCTTCCCCTCTAACACAGTTACCATGCCCACCTTCCCCCTCTAACACATTTACTGTACCCTCCTTCCCCCTCTAACACAGTTACCATACCCACCTTCCCCCTCTAACACAGTTACCATACCCACCTTCCCCCCCTAACACAGTTACCGTACCCACCTTCCCCCTCTAACACAGTTACCGTACCCACCTTTCCCCTCTAACACAGTCACCGTACCCACCTTCCCCTCTAACACAGTCACCGTACCCACCTTCCCC